TGTATGTATGGTTGTGTGCGCTAGTCCAAAATATAGAACACGTGTTGAGCTGCGTTCATACTTTGCGACTCTTGAGAAGCGGCGTTATTTGAAAATTGTCTTCTGGGCGCCATTGATACCTATAGTATCCCTTATCGCAGAAATGCCGATTCTGTCAAGAAGCCGAATCTCTCAAAAGGTCGTACAGCGTTCCAAGGAGGGGGTCGTATAGAGGCCAGCTTTTTTCGGAGGGGTGTGGGATAGCACCGAGATTGAACAGGTCATGGCAGTGGCCATTTCGTCGATGCTCTTCCCTCTTCTTGGCCCATTAGCCAGGAATTACGGAGGCTATGGCGGGAAAACTAATCAGATGGAAGAAATCATGCATAAGGAGCTCCACCAATTTCCGCTGGGGTGATTTACTGAGTTTTTTTGTTTCTAAGTCACGCTTCTTTACTGACCGGGAGCTGTACGTAAGTATGTATGCCCTTGAGGGTAAACTTTGGTGATCCAACAAAAGTTTCGTAGGAAGTCGGTTTAGAAACAGAAGTGTATGTGCTAGTTGACTCGCACCATACCGTACCACTTTCTAATGTGACACTCATACAGGGTTGTTCGTTGCAGTAAACACTACGCCTTCATATGCTCAGCTTGGACATATGTAACAGGTCGTGGAATCTGGCTTTACGAAAGTGCTTACCAAGCAAGCTCGCCAGCAGTGCTGATATGAAGAAACCTCTCAAGTACCCTTCAAATTTCCAAACAATGTTATGTCACTAGAGGAACTGGCTCACATCACTTTTGAAATTTTCCGAATAAAATTTATTCACTTTTAAGTGTTTCAGCTACTCAAAACCTTTCATGAGACATTCATACAACAAACATCCAAAGGATTAAAGTTGAGCTGATTTAGTACAGTTCCCGTTGTTCGTCGGGGAAAATCGTTTCCAAGTTGAGCACTCCGATATCGAAAGTGCGTCTAGCAACAGGCCCATTAGTGATGTAGGATGAAGGGATACGGAACTTCAACTTTCGCTTGCCGGGCTGAAATAAACAAAGACGGTCACTCGGTTAGCACTTACACAAGGTTGTTGAGTTATGGACAAAACGCCTAGCCTCAGTAAAGCTTTGAACCAGAACCCAAAGAGTTACTTTACACTCGTGGTCCCATTCCTCGCTATGTGAGAGGGGGATGAGTCCGCAGCTCTAGCACCGTGCCACTTTCTCGGGTCAACCATGAGATCGGGGCTGCAGGGCAGAGATACCTGATTGCCGTCTCCCGACTCCGCTCGCACTGCTTCAGGTCCAGCCACGCGCCTAACCATGGCCGAACGCGCAAATTTTCTGCGCCTTCTCATTCCTGGTTGTACTCTCTCTCTTTCTCCCTCTCTGCTGTACCGTAAGTTCGCCGGAATTATTGACGCAGGCGAAGACGCAACTTGAATCTAACGCGAGCGGATGGAGACTACCGATCAAAGCATATCCTAAGAGCCCGTTCCCGTGCACTTTCAAGGTCCCAAAGTGGCACGCTACTGCAGCTGCGGACCCACTCACATCACGCATGTGAGGAAAGTCTTTGAGGGTAAGTGTTCAGCTTTGTCTCTACCGCTTTTCCGTTGAAAACGATGAAAGGGAGCACAGGACTTTTCGGGTCCGGTTTACTGATTAAGCGAAATTTCTCTTCGTAACTTCAACCTTCCCTGTGAATCCACAGAATGCGAACAGTCTGTGGTAAAGTAAGATATCTAATAAGACGGAAATTCAGCCAGCATGTACCGCTCAGTATTTTGAGAGAGCTCTCCAAAGAAAACTTGTGCAATGGAAAATCTCCTAAACTTAGTTGAAGAACATACCCTAACTCCATCATCACAGTTGTGGTATACCTTGAAAACAGGGTCAATAGTGGTCATTTCTCGCTCTGTTCCCTGCAAAAACTACTCATCTGTTAAGCGAGGTTTTGGAGGCAATGTTTTTGCACGACTCACCTTCAAAGTGAAAGTTCCTTTGGCTGCTTGTGTTAGCCTTGCGTCAAGGAGTCGTCAGGATCGGACCTGAAGGCTTTACTGGTTAAGCATGGAAGTGTGCTGAGAGGGGACTGGGTTTGGCGGTGGCCCGCCAGACGTTTTCAAGCCAATTGTTGTTGGCATGCGTGATTCAACGAGTGTGCAGGCGGACTGCCCCGGCGCCTATAAATGTATGTTTTCGATAAAGGCGCATTCCGCTGGCTTTCACGTTAGACCCATCTTCTTAATTACGTTCCCTCACTCTTGACCTCTCAGAATATGATTGCACCAACGGGTAGGGCAAAATAGTTATGCCGCTCTCCACCCCAACGGTTATTGTAAGAATACATTCATTATACAATAAACGCTTTCAAAAAAGGAGCCGCGCCATAAAGGTTAAACCCGGGAACAATGATAGGCTACGCTTCTGTTGTTTGCTGTGCAAATTGGAAGCAGCATGAAAGATTGCTGCGCGCGCAATCTAGTTCGGTCCCAGTTGTCAGCCAGCATATTGAATGCTGATCTTGAGTTCGGCAATCACAAGAAGCAATTTAAACGATGTTTCCATCGTATTTTGCCCTTGAAAATTACGCTTTTTGGGCAGTAACGAAGTCACACAGGAGCGACAATCTGGCTTCCAAACTATGCGCGCGGTAAACTGCACAAGTTGCTACTACGCCATATGCGCAAATGTATTCAGCAATGAAAAGGTGATGATCTACAGGAGAATTTCTCCTTTTTTCTCCACAATTTTCTCAATGACAAGCGCTCACCATCATCTTCTTCCCAGAGCTTCACTGTAACTCCAGAAGCCGGCGTAGTTCCACACAACAGCTTGCCGGTGATCGCCACAGATTGTTGACGTAAGGCTAGGCAGTAGCCTAATAGAGCAATCAAAATTATGTACTTCATCTGAAATATTAGTTGTCTATACATGCAGGTATGGTACATGGAAACGGCGACTTACAAGTGAAAGGCGCAGTGGCAGGCCAATGAGGTCGTAGAAGCTTCTACCTATTTATGAGGGAACTGGCAGCGTGGGTGTGAAGCAGAAATATCGATTCTGTTTGTCTTATCTTTATTATTATTGAAAAAAGGTCTGCTCACTCGGTTGATATTCCAATGAAAAAAGTATCGAGCAGTCAACAATTGTTATTCTTCATGTACTATGATCGCTTCTGGAGCGGTTCAAGATGACGGAGTGTGGTTTCTCCTTTTTTTCTGTTAAGTGTTTTTTGCGAGCTGACAAGGGGTCCAGAAATGATAAGTATAGGATGTATTATTAGTGGTGGTACTGCAGCACAGGACACGGGCGAAAGTGATCTTGAAAAGTGAGATTCCGGATCAGCTACAGGCAGAGTCTATCAAGCCTTTCATCCCTCCGTGGCAGGTGAATTGTTGCTGGGCGCGTCTTCAAAGGATAGCAACTCAGCGAGTACATGACTTGTACATCGCCTAGCTTCAGCTAGTCGGTGTATAGGCTAAATCTCGAAAGGCACCATGATTCCTAATGGAAGTAG